CGGGGGGGACCCCAGTGTTGGGGAGGGGTGAGGCGAGCGGTCCGGGGGGGGGGCAGTGCTGGGGAGCGGGCGGGGTGAGGCGAGCGGCTGCAGGGGGGATCTTCAAGTCAGAGGACTATTATCCTGGGGCAGGGTGGTGCAGAATTCATGGGGGAGGTTATGAGGACAGATCCCGCTCCATGCCCCGGGTTCAGCTCCTCTGGATACCAGCCCAGTGGGCAGAGGAAGGGTCTGCTACCCCCCCCCTCCCCCGCCATTAGAGAAGTGGTTTTGGGACCAAAATGATGTAGACTTCAGGGAAGGTTGCTTGGGGGTGTCTGGAGCCAGGGAGGTGGAGGGAGAGACCTTTATGCCTAGCCTGGTAAGAGCCAGAGTATCACAGGGGCCCTTGCACTGCTCCAATAGGCTGTTTCCTTCTCTCCTTTTTGGCTGCTCAGGTGAAATGCAGGTTGACAGGTCACGAGCTGCCATGTCGGATGCCAGAGCTGCAAGCTTATACGAGTGGCAAGAAGTATCTGAGACTGATAAAAACAGCAAGAGCATTTGACTACAGCGAATTCGAGCCACACATTGTGCCCAGTACCAAGAATCCGTGCGTGTCTGTTTTTTCCTTAATGTTCACGCGGAGCTCTTGCTAATGTTAATTGCATGCCCAGTAGGGGAGTGATGCCTGAGTATTTAAGTGGGTATCCATTCAGTGGGCTGAGAAAGCATTTATAAAGCAGCTATTGACTCTGAACTAGCCACTTAAAGGTGAAAGACTCATTTCTTTTATATAATAACTTTACTAAACGGTGTGTCTGTTTTTTATTCTCTAGCCATCAGCTGTTTTGCAAGCTTACTCTCAGGCACATCAACAGGCTTCCAGAGCATGTGCTGCGTCATGTCCAAGGAAGGCGCTATCAGAGAGCGCTGAAAAAATGTAAGTGGCTCTATCATCTTCTGCTGTGTTTTTTCTCTTCCCTTTCTGATCTTTTAACGTGCTCTCCTGCTGTGCATGTGTAGAGTGTTTGGAAATCGTTCTACAACGTGGCAGTAATACAGAGCAGTGCTCCTGAAGGCTTCTCCCAGCCAGGAAGGAAGGGTGACTTCAAAAGTAGAGAGCAATGGTTTCTTATAGTGAACAAACTGGAGTGTCTACTTTAGAGTAGGGATTTTCAAACTTTCCAATAGTGTGGGTCACACTTTAATTCAGGGATTATCTTGTAGACATGTTTCCTTCCATTTGTGATCCCGTAATATCTCTGAGGCAACTATCACTTGCACTGAAAATATTATTAGGGAATTATTTAATATTTTTTTTAGCTGCCCTTAAATACAACTTAGCAGCTGGAAATCAGGAGGAACTGGTACCAAGTGACCAGCAACCTCTATGCATGCCAGTTTGGGAACTTCTTGGGCCTCACTAATGCAAACCTACATAACAGCTCGTATCTGTGGGGAATTGTGTTAAGACTTCAAGTCATCTCAAGACTAAATGTGTCTGGCTCTTGACATGGTTGTGTTTCATCAGCAAAGGGACTGGAGGTTGCAGGTTACTGGTGCCAATGTTCACCTTCAGGTAACTTCTTCAAATCCTGCCCAGGTCAGCAGTGACTAAATGTCAACCTCTGATGGCTGCTTGATGGCCTGTATGAAATGAGCTGGCATATCCCAGTCCAGGTTCTGGTGAGCAAGCAGCTACCTCATAAAAACCATCTCCCCTGCAGTTACAATATCTGCATACTCATCAGAGAAGCCAAGTTTTGAGTGGACCAGGGAGACTGTACTACACTGCAGCCCTTGTAGGTATCTCCCAGTGAGAGTTGGGGCAGTGTGTGTGGGAAGCTGGCACTGGTGTTGCTCATGCTGTACTTCCTCAGTGGACTCCAGTCTGCAAGACTATTGAGCCTGACACCTTTCACAAACAGTCAACACCCCCCCCGCTCCCCTTTGCTGCTGCTAGAAACAGAAATATGGGCAGCATGACAAAACCTTAGACTTCTGAGGTCTGCTTAATGTCTCTCTAGGTCTGCTCATAGATGCTGTTTGCATTTCTGACGTGCTACCTAGCACTGTGCTCTGCTTCTAGTCCATTCTGTTCTTAACGAGACCGCCAAATTCTTGAACCACTTGCATTATTTGTGAATGAGCCCTGCCTGGTTTATTTTTAGATGAGGAATGCCAGAAGGAGGGCGTGGAGTACGTCCCTGCCTGCCTCCTGCAGAAGAGACAGCGGCGGCGAGATGACCAGGCTGAGGGGAGCAGGCAGCCCCGCAGAAAAGGAGAATTCTGGGAGCCTACGTCCAGTGAAGAGGAAGAAGTTGACACAGATGATAGCATGAGCGACCTATACCCATGTGAGCAGGAGCTTTGGTGTTTTCTGACCGTGTTAAAGGGACGCTCTCCGTTTCTATTCGCTGGCTCCTCTTTCTGGTTGGCTACCCGCTGGGAAGCCACAAAGTCAGCTCAGTTTAACGTCAATTTAAACTTTGTTAGCAGCATGGGGGAGGGATGCCTGGAGATAATTTATCGTTGGTTGCAAACAGAAAAGAACAAAACCCTAGGAAAAAGAGATGTGGCATTTCCTTTGCTAGTATTAGAGGGCAGCAGCAGGACTGGACCCACCCAGTGCTTTTACTGCCGTACTGCCAGAAGGGAGGAACATGCGGCACGTACAACATGTATGTGGGAAGGTGGTGATTCCTACACACAGAATCCAGAGTGGGTGGGGGTTACTCTTCTCCAGATCCTGAGCGTTAAATGCCAGTTATCATTGAATCGCTACCAAGACAGAGATCGTACAAGGGGAGAAGTACTTGTCAGCACAAGACCTGCCGGAACCTGCATGCTCACAGGCAACATGCACTCCACTGCCTTTCCCAGAACAGTCCTGGAGTCTACAATCCCACCCACCCTGCAGAGGATTTCCTACCAGGTAGAGTGAATTCCATTGAGTTCCTGTCTAAAAAAGACTGGAGGAGAGGTGGAGTTGTAAGGCTACAGGACTATGTTGGCTGAATATCCCCTGTAGCTGGGCTAATCAGGGTACTGGGCACTTATTACTGAAATACAGGGGTTATATTTGTCTTCCAAGGGTCTTGGTAGTAATGTGCTGCCCGGCGGTCAGGGATATTCAGCCCTTGCTGATAAAAGAACTGGAATCTGGTGCTTCAGTTTTGCAAAGTCCCCTTTAAGGAAGTTGCCCGTAAAGCCACTGGAGTGAGGCTAAGTCAAAGCAGGAGCGAGAGGAAACTGATCCCAAGTTGGGTCTTGCGTTGTGTTTTAGCTGAGCTTTTCCCAGAAAAAAGGCCGGTGGTGCAAGGAGAACGGGAAGGTGATGATGACTTTGTGACAGAGAGCGAGGAAGATGTGGCCAAGCCCGCCGAGGAAAACGGCGGCGTGAATGGAGAGGAGAGTGAAAAGATGGACGAGACCAGACGAGCTGGCAACAAAAGGGGAAAGGTGAGTGCTGGGCTGCCATGCACAGCCACATCAAGGGAGAGTGTTTGCAGAATCAGAGGTGAGCCCTTGTGGGTGAGGATGTACTGCGTGATTAGACCAATGAGCCATCTGCTCTCATGTCTGTGAGAGGGGCTGATGCGAGATGGGCTCAGCTGGTATAAAACCTTTCAGGGGATGTTTCCTTCTGACCCTTGAAGTCAGTGACTGGTTAGACCCTGAAGCAGTGAGATTCTATCCTTTAGTGAACTTGTATCCTGGCTAGGGTAACTGGGGCTAGTATTACCCATATAAATGTCTAATCCTGGTTTGAATTCTACTGCTTGCCGCCTCAGGAGTGGGAATCTTAGGCCAGGGAGACAGAAATGTCCTTTGGGTCCTAAAATTACTTCCACTACTCCCTTCTTAATCAATCCCCTTTAGAATGTAAAGGTTGATAGGGTTTAGTCTGGCCCCTTTTCTCTTTCTCAGTGCTCCTGATTCTGCCTGTGGATCTCTTCACAGGAGCAGACATTTTAGTCCTGATCCTGCAGTCCTTGTGTGTTTGGGAAACAGCAGGAATGCATGTTCAGGCCCTGAATGTGTAAAGTGGGCATACGTAATTTCAGGAACATCATTGCTGATGAAGAGGATGATTCTAGAAGACAGCCCAGAGGGGAGGTGGTGGATTTGCTCCTTGTCTCCCTTCCTCGGGGAGAACAGGATCTGCAGTATTTTATGGCTCCGTTCTAGCAGGAGCATTTGGTACAGAGACTGTGTTTGTTGGGAGAAAGGGAGGGGATGTTATTTTTTAGCTCTTATACTAGGGCTGAGGGGAGCTGGAGGTCAAGTCTTGTCTCTCGCTGGCCATGTCCTCAGTAGCTAGGATTGGGATTGTACTGACAGCCTGTAAAAACAGCAGCTTGGAGGGATGCCTTGTCTGAGCATTCTAGCCCTGGCCCCATGCAGGCTTATGCTAGCCCAGAGACATGAAGAGGTTCTTCGAAAGACAGTGCAATTTCTCTCTCTCTCTCCACAGCCACAATTGAGTTCCTTAAAGAAGAAATTTAAGAGTCACCATCGAAAACCCAAAAGCTTCAAGAAAGCAGCCAATGGCAAATAAACTTTTCTATAAGTGTGAAACAGTAGTTGGCTGGAGCTAGTTATGTGGCAGTGTGGTGGTCTAAAGGGGGCAGGATGGTACAAGTTCTATTGAAAAGCCTGGCCTTGCCTGCACCATTGTCAGGTTTCAACCATCTGTTGCTGATGGGGGGTTTTAGTGAGCTGGAGCACAAATGGGTTGTGGGCATTAGGGTCGATTCTTGGGGCATGGCCTAGTTCTGACTGAGCTGCCAATGATTGGGTGCCTTATACTAATATAAAGTTATTCTGTGGCACTTTATTTTTTGCTGAAAGGGTTGGCATTTTTATTCCATTTCCTGCCACGCAGGCATCTACTACACAGAGGATATTAATATTAATACCAAGTTTTAGCCAGGGAACACCATCCCCAAAGGGTCACCAACTGTGCACTCAAGCTGGATACAACAAAGATGCCATAGTTTTATTTTGATGATTTCCAAAAATCAAAACATTTTCAAACACAACTAAGATACAAAATACAGCATAAAATGAGAATTTATACTTATTTCTCTTTCCACATAAAGCAAAAAAAAAAAGTGAATTCAGAACACTTTGCCAAGCCAATTGGTAGATTACATCCTGCCTTCAAGAGAGCATTCCAACCGTTAGAGACGTCACTGCATCAGTTCTGGAAGTTATGCAGTACAGCAGTGCACGTGAGATGCAGCTAGCCCTCTTGCAAAGGACACATTGGCTAAAAAGTAGCATGCTGGCGGGAAGAGAGCAGTGTATTTAAAAAAAGCCCTCTCCTTAATGCTGATGGTGTACTGTACTTGCAAGATCCCTGCTCCAAAGGCTAGTGACATTTACCTTTCCTAAAGGGGAACATCGATTTTGTGATGCCTGAACTTCCTATGGGGCTGCAGGCAGCCTCTCCAGGAAAGAGGAATTTCATGGATCAGTTAGTTTCTGAAATATTGAACAATTCTTCTTCCAAAGTGATCAAGCTCCTTAGCTGGGCAGAATGAGGGGATCAGTCATAAAGAAGCTAATTAAGGGGTAGTTACAAGACCTGTTTCTACCTATTAAGTTATAAATACTTGAATTGTCCACAGGAGCTAGAATGTTTGGAAGAGAATATTGCTGCGGGTAAGGGGCGTGCGTGTATTCTAAACAGTTGCCCGTAGCAACTGCAGTGTGAAAGTCAGTCATATCCTTTATGTATTGAACGTCAGGAGGAAGCTGAAAGTTTAGTTTCCTGCACAATGAAGACACAGGCACTACAAGAGCAGTTGGGGGGCTGGGGGGGGGACGGGACTACAAAACCTGCTCTGGGGAAAAATAAAAAAAGCCACAGGGTAACTATTAAATGAATTTAAGAAATCTCTCCAGTCCTAGTGCTCTCTGTCACTGCAGAGGCCATTCTCCCTTACATTGATGTAAATGGCTGAACATTCGTGGAGGCATTTCTATTTATCACCAGCTGCTGAGAATCCTGTTTTCCAAGGTAAAGGCAAGACTGTTACATTGCACTGTCCAGGTCAATGGGCTTAGCAGCATTCCTTGGGGAAGAAAGCCCAGGAGCTGGCTGGCCGCTGGAGATGCTGAGCTGGGCTGCTCTTCGAAGTGGAGATGTAAGCAGCTGAAAGGAGCCACTGATGCAGGAAACCAGGGCCGTTGGCCTGCCGAGCTGCTAGTTAAGGTCACAAGGCGAGTGTGTCACAGAATCCAAGTCAGTAAGACCAACAAAAACACAAAACAAAACATCAATTTAGTCCACTAGCAGAGGGTGAAATGCCCCTTCCCGGCAGGGATGGATGTGAGGTGAAAGACGAGGTTACACTGATGGGGCAAAGTCAGGACCTGTTTCCCTTCAACCCACTTAAACTAAAGAATCATTTCCTCTCTGAGTGAAACGCTCAGCAGAGGGTTAGAATGCATAAGTTACCTCCCCCAGCTGTTAAGACACTGCCAAGTATATTCCACTCCCTAGAAGTCTTAGCTACGACTGTCAAAAATGAGGCAGATGCCATTTGAATCACAGGACTGAGAATCAGGGCAGTAAGGCATCACACAGCTGATTTTTGCATGCTGTCTAATACAGGAACAATGGCGCCTGTCCAGGAAAGCATTCTCTACCCCAGGGATAGAGTAGGGATGCCAGAGCAGGTGCTTTCCCTTGAGAGTTCTGTACCTGCTGTTGCTTGGGGGGGGAAGGAATTTTTGCATCTACAAGAGAGACTGGCAGAAATGGATCAAGAAAGCAAAGGGCGCTCTAGGCTGGAAGATTAGACACTGCTCTGAACCCACTGGTGAGATGATGTGAACCCTGCATACATTATGAAATGCTCAGCATTTGAGTTTCTGCCTTTCAGTACCAGGAACAGGGTCTTTCACAGCTCCACAAATATTGGTTCCACCAGTTACTGCTCAAATTGAAAGAACCTGGATCCACATTTAGATAAATACTGGTTGGTTGCTGAAAGGAGCTGTCTCTGGGAATCACTGTCTGGCTTGCTCCCCTTTGTTGGTGGATGGAAAATGCTGAAAAGGAGGGTTGGTTTTTGGTACAGTACATTTTAAAATGAAGTCTGTCTTGAGACCCTTCCCACTAACCCACCCCCAACATCGTACGGAAATCTTTCCAGCAATATACCACCCCCACCCCCGGTTCCGCTCAGGAACAGAAATGAGACATTCCATTTTCATTACAGAAAATAAAACCCTCTTTTTCCTCATCTAGAGAAGGATGCAGCTGCTTCTGACATTCTTTCTCCCTCCCTCTGTCTCTTTGGGTGTGGAAAGGATCTTCCCCTTGCTCAGACCTGGGTACATAATACTGTAATTTTTTAAAACCAATGTCTTCGCTTAGCGTAACTCTCCAATTGTACAAACAATGCTCTAACCAGCAGCTGGGTTTTATATACACAGAGGATTTTTAGTTCTCTGCGGGGAGTGGGGAATTCACTTGTTTGGTTATTTTTTCTGTTTCCTTTTTAACTCTAACAGCACACTGAATGATACTGCTGTGTATCTGCTCACAGTACTTTAAATTTAAAGACCATTACTGAAGTACTCACTGAAATGTGGATTCCTTGGATTAGTTCCAATTCTAGGAAGTTAAAAACAAGACAAAAAAATAAACCTAGGCAATGTTCCTCGAAGAAGTAGGATTTATCATCTATTATCAGATTACTGGTGCCACTGTAAATTAAATTCTCAAGACATCTGTGCCTTTAACAGGGAAGGTACGGGAGAGGCAGGTATACGTAAAATGGCGGCAGTTTTTGTTGACTCCATAGAGAATCAGTCCTGGACCTAAGCTGTTGTGTCCCGAGAAGCTACACTGCTCCCGTTACCACTCTTTTTTCTTCTCGTCCATGGAGACGCCACCAGGACCCAGCGCCACCACCAGGAGAAGCCCTCCAATGACAGACATGGTCTGGAAGAAGTCGTACTTGAGGAAGTCATGCATGGGCTTGTAGGCTGGGATGGTCCAGAAGGCGTTAAAGTAGATGTTGATGGCAAACAGCCAGATGACCAGAGTCAAGGCAGCCAGCTTGGTCTTAAAGCCAATCGCCACTAAGATAATCAGGGCTGTGCCCACGATGTTCTGGAGAATCTGCAGTAGCAGAGGGGAGAGGAAAGAGTAGAGTCAGGGTTCTACACAGCTCTGTTATGGTAGCATAGAGAGCACAGACACTGCCTACCCAGCTAGCACAGGTATAAATAGCAGTGTAGACAGAAAGCCATGGCTTAGGGTGGGTAGAGTATACCCCAGGATATAGACCCTGCATAGCCCTCTGCACACCCAAGCCAGGCCACCCACGTCTGCACTGCTAATTTTAGCAGTGTCCTGTCCTGCTGCCTCCCCCTGCCAGAGCCTTTCCTCGCCACAGTGAAAGCATCTGGCAGTGGGGAGCTGTAGGAGTCTTTCCCCACCGCCAGAGCCTTTCACTGTGGTGTGTAGCTACACATGTAGTGCCTGTACTGTGCATGCTGCCGTAAGTGTAGACGTGGCCTTAGAGAAATATGCATGTAGGAGGTGTAATCGCTGCAGCGTTGTTCAGTAAAGGCAATGCAACAGGCTGCTGTAAGAATATAAGAACGGCCATACTGGGTCAGACCAAAGGTCCATCTAGCCCAGTGACCTGTCTTCCGACAGTGGCCAGTGTCAGGTGCCCCAGAGGGAATGAACACAACAGGTAACCATCAAGAGATCCATTCCCAGCTTCTGGCAAACAGAGGGTAGGGACACCACCCCTGCCCATCCTGGCTGTGATGCAGGTCATCACTAGATTATTTGACATCTCAGTTTCTTCAGTAACTAAAGGGCCTTTTCCTGTTACTTTTAACTCATAACATGTCCAGGAGGTCAGAACACAGTATCTCTAGTTGACAGGGCCCAAATCCGGCAGTCTTATATAAGGAGACCCAGTGAAATCGATGAGGACTCGCATGAGAATAATTGCTGGATTGGGACCCCACCCAGGCTGTAGCAGAGCAGTGAAGCCCAATGCCGTGACTCCCAGTTCTGTGCCAGATACTTACAGAAAAGAAGCTAACATCAAAATGTAGCAGTGTCATGAACATGAGGACCAGTAGCACACGTCCACCCAGCTGCATGTACTGTTTGGGGGAGCTTTCCCGCATGGTGGGGACACCGGCAAACATGCTTTTCCCCTCTGACCGTGACTCAGCCAAAAGCAGCAGCAAGCCTCCCCCAAGGGCAAGGTTCCTGGGGAAGAGAGAAGAGATGGAGAAGAAACATCTACAGGTCAGTGCAAGAAAAATAAAAGCCACATCATAGAGCGTCTTGGATGTGTCACGAAGATCATTCTACCTGAATGAGTGAGAATGCCACCAACAACCTTGAATTGGTTCTCACTATGTCCCACCGCACTCTGCCCTCCAAGAAATCATCATGTTCCCCACTGATTCAGTAGTTCTTATGACTCTGCAGATACAAGAGGATCATGCATCCAGTGCTTGCAACAACACTTACGACCATAGTGCAGAGCTGTGCAGGCTCCAAGCTTCTATCAAGGATGGCAGACAGCAAGGAAGACTGCATACGTTTGTGGGTTTTTTTTTAAAAAGGTGCAAATAACATGGGACAGAGAGGACATTATGGGATGGAGCCGGTTGCACTCTAGGAAGTTGACTCCTTGCTCCCAATCACCCCTGCACAACTCATTTCTGCCCCATCATGCATTGCCAAAAACTTCCCCAAAAGACAGTGCGCTGGATGGTGGCACGTTGCACGCTGGGCTATCTACCCATGGTGCACTGCACAGCAACACAAGCACTCCCGGCCAGTATGCGCAGTATTGACGCAAGGAGCCAAGTATGCATCTGCACAGGCGATACGTTGATTGCAGCAGCTTTGGGCCGACGTAATTTGCGTTGATCAATGTTTGTCGTGTAGACATGACCTTAAAATGTGACCTTTATAAAGATCTCTTCATTCCCATCCCTGGGTGACATTCACAGAAGCAAATTTGTGAGGACAGGATAGAGGTAAAATAAACTAGGACCTACCTCATCAAGAACTTCAGATCCCACAGAATGCTGTAAGCAATGGTCTGGGAGGGGAAAAAAAGAAATACGGAAATATTTAAGCTATTTCCAGCTCCTTGAGAAGGGAGAGCTTTTAAAGGGTTCAAAGTCAGTCATTAAATGCAGGACGTAAGAATCAATAACATCTTAAAAAGTTACTTAGTTTAGCAAGTAGTTCGGCATGATGACAATAAGAAGCTTTTATTAGAATCCATTTTCGATGCGGACGGTCAGGATCACTCATTAGCCTGGGTGCTTTTTATAGCAGGGCAGATCTGTGACTTTTTGCAGATAGTTAATTAACCCTCAGCAATCCCCTGTGGCAGTCAAGTATTCATCCCATTATATAGATGCAGAAAAACAGAAAGGCAGGAAGGTTCAATTAAATGCCCAAGATCACACAACTAGTCAGTGGCAAATTTGGGAATAGAACCCAGAAGTTATAACTCACTTTAGACAAAATGTTAACAAAAACCCTTCCTGTCCAAAATTTTTTTCCCCTTGTTTTTAGAAACATAAAATGGGGATCCTTCCACGTTGGGATATTCTTGTAGCGAAGTACGGGGGGGGGGGGGGGGAGGTCAATACCAAAGCAGTTATAGGTCTCTTATGCAGTAGGCTGCTGAAGCTCATGTGAGTTGCAAAGAGGTCCTCCTCCTACTATATGGGACAGGATTGGTTTGATACTTGTTTTTCCAAGCACTTACAGCCGGCCGATCCTATCAGCATCCAAGGAGAATACCTCGCCGCTGTGCATGTCAGAGGAAGAACAGCTGTAACCACGTTGCCACAAGAGATCCTGGCCAACTGAAGGAGGGCAGTGGGCTCAACGCGCAGGGGCAGTCCTTCCTGCTGCTTTTAGCTTAGCCCGATCAGCCCCATTGGGGTTGGTGGGGAGGGCCGGAAAGACAGGGACGGTCCTTTGGAAGACTTGAGGCTTCCTACCTGTAATGCTATAATTCCGAACAAGCCGAAGCAGGCATACTGCACAAAGTTCCTACTCAGCACCAGGATACAGCCGCCTGAGGAAGGGAAATTACACAGCGTTACCACATCTCCAGCGCACACCGGAAACAGCTGGCTTTGGTTTTGTTTTGAATTTTAGAAGGTTAAGGATTTCATGTAGCCAAGACACAGAGAGCCTCTGCTAGGAGACATCGGTGTCAGAACACTTGCTTTGTGGGGGAAAGTCAGCTTTAAAATCTGCATTCTCCAAGGAGCTTCTCTATAGCCGACATTGTCTTATGGCTCCTGAAGAACATCTCTCCATTATTCCACCAGGTGATGGAACAAAGGATCAAACATATGCTTGATTTAGTCCCTGGCACATCGTACTAGTTGGCAGCTGCCATGCAAGGGTACATCTGCTGTGCAATAAAAGACCTGCAGCACGGCCGCAGCATGGCCCAGGTCAGCTAACTCCAGCTCGTGGAGCTCAGACTGCGGGGTTATAAAATTGCAGTGTGGCCATTTGGGCTCAGGCTGGTGCCCACCCTTTCAAACCCTGCAAGGTGGCTGGGTGTGTCTCAGACCCTGGGCTCCAGCCCATGCCTGAATGTCTACACTACTATTTTTAGCCCTGCAGCCTGAACCCAAGTCAATTGACCTGGGCTTGACTGCAGTGTAGACGTACGCTTAATGTCACAAGAAGTTAAACAAAAAAATAGCCAAGTATGGTTTGGATGTTGCCTTTCGTGAAGTGGCGGTGGGAGAATGATACCGTAGTTCTTTCGAGAATACAGAATATTAAACAAACCGAAGCTTTCCTTTAAATCTTGCATTCAAAAGAAAACTGATCACATTTCCCTGCAGGCGGATTTCCACACTGAACTGTTGACTAAAAGAAGTCTATTAAGCAAGCTATCTCCAGGGGAAAAGATTTAGCAACATTAAATTTTTACCTGGACAAAATACAAAAGCAAAACCTGGACACAGGACTTTGAACGACTAGGCAATTGGAGTGTGTGTGCGCGAGACAATTTTAAAAAGGGGGACACGCAATATAAACAGGGAGAATTTAGTTCCTTTTCCACCAATGATACTGTTCACTCAGCATGGACGTAGGAGCTAGACTTAAAGTGTCTAGTCTGTTTCACTTCCTAGTCCTCATGCACTAACATAGTGCCATTGCTTTTGTAAAGAGGACAGGATTGAAATGCTTCCTGCATAAAACAAGACAAAATATTTTTCCAGTTGACATTAACCTCCGTAAGATCCAATATTGGGCTGAGGCAAGAAACCCATGGCACTGTAATCATCTTGATATATTGGAGCAATTCCTCCTCTTTAAAAAACAAACAACAGGAAGTATTTTACTTACAGAATGCACCTATTAAGATCTGGGTACACATACAGAATTAAATAGCTAATAATACTATCAACTAAGGGACTCGTCAGAGTTTTCATTGACCAAGAGGTACCACGTGGACTCAAAGTCAAGGAGCAAAACGTGGGGAGGTTAATGAAAAGTCTTTATTCAACCTATGAAGCATCATCAAAATATAAAGCGCTTGATGGGTAAAGGATAAATAAATAAACTAGGCTTCCCATGAGCCAGAAACACTAGCGTGATTTGGCATCTGCCCTAATAGACGATTAAGAGCCACTTACTCAGCTGTCCAGAGAGATTTAGGAACACAAAGATGGAGGCCAGGAAATAGCCACAGTTCCACGTGGCATCAATGTAATCCCTCTGTTCGCTCCACTGGAACCACATGCGGATCCCGTCCTCCAGGAAGGTGCTGATCAGGCACAGACGAGCCACGTGGGGAAGGTACTGCTTCGTCACTCTCAGGAACTACATGGGCAGACAGTGCAGGAGTAATGTCCAAGGAAACCAAGAGCCATGCCCCTCTGCAGACTGCAGGCATAGCATCGGCACGTGCATGCGCACACACCCACCTCCACCACAAGATCCTGCTGAACGCAGATATGCTGGGGAATTAGATAAAGCCAAACTCTGGTTTAACACACCTGTGTGTTTACATTTCCCCTGTTCTCATTGGCAAAAGTTCCATTGACTTCTTCCTCCGCAAGTATCAACACATTGTGCCATCAGGCCTAAGACACTCCTATACAATAGTAAAAGGGTTTGACTGTAGATGAAAAACTGACCAGGATATTAGTTGATTTCAAGGATAAACACATACAGAGACAGAGTTCAGGCCCTAGTCCCATTAAGAATCACATCCCACATTAAAAAAAAAAACCAACACACTACTCAGGAAGATGAATTAGGCAGTTATATATAGCTACTGTTCAATGCAACCTAGTATTTAAAAAAAATAATATCACCAAGAGGCACGAGGAACTGAGCACACCGCTTCTCTTCTTGGGAAGGAAAGTTGTGTCTAATCATGGGAAGAGAATACTGAAAATTTACCCTTAGGTCACTCTGCCATTGTGAGAATTATAGATTATATAGGAGCAACTACTGCTGAGTAGAACCAAAACATACACCCCAGGGAGTCTAGCTTCTTGTACAAATTATACATGTGCAAGATATTTGCATATTTTTTAAAAGAAATCTAATTGCCTCTTCACTCTCCAGTTCTCAGCTGGTGTATCATTTAAGTCTTCATTAGTATTTAAGTAACTGTAATAGAGCACCAAGGCATATCCTGATGGGGATTAATAACTGGTTGGAGATTTAATGCTCCGACACAAATCTCAGCCCAAAGGGCCACAATTTTGGTGTGCAAAGGGAGCCATGTGCAGACACCTAGAACACATGACTAATCAGCAGCTCTGTTTGTGCAGGCAGTTGCCATGATTAGATGTACCCCTTGAGCAAGCTGGCATCCACGTGGGTGTTGGATTCTTGCACTCCATTACTGAATATTTAGAACCATTGCATTGATCCCAGGTTAATATTAAAAAGCGTCTGGTGTTATTCCTCCACTGACCCCACCATCCCTTTGGTACAGAAAGGTGTTAATAAAAGTTATTTCCTAACAAACAGCCCTAGAAACCTGCAAATAGCACGTTCCACTTGTATAGAAAGTAGTGATGTTTATAGGCAATGTAATAGCACCAGGAGATGTTTAGTAATAGAAAATGCCTATTGGCTGAAAGTGAGGTGACTGTTTATTTAAGAAACATATTTAGGGCATCAACACCAGGTGCAGAACAGCCAAGTAATTCAAGTGATATCTGTCAGGTGTTGTATGTGAGATAGAGATGGTCAATTCTAACTTAAACAGCAGAAGAGAAGCAGAAGGTGCCTGTCTCCAGATTTTATGGGCAGTTAGCGCTGAGCAATGTCACAACCAGATGCATGCACATGCCTGACTCCTGATGTAGAAATGCCAGGTTTTGCAGAGACTCCTGGTTTAGCAGTAGGGGGACTATGTGTTATAACCCCCCCCAACCCACACACAGTATTATTAAAAATGATTTATGGGACTATTTGATTCAAGTAATTTTACTCAGTGTTAGAATCTAAACTATGTTCACTGGGGGGGAGGGGGAGGAAGACATCCCTCAATACCAAACCAACCAACCCACCTGTATAGAGGTGTTCTTCAAAAAAGGTATCAGGAATGTCACAAAAAGGAAATATACACTGTTTTCATTGTGTATGTCTTGTGTGGTCCCCTTGCACCAGTGTTTCTTGCACCATTAGGGAACCCGAACTTAAAAAAAAAAAATTAAGAAGTCACACCCAGCACTGACCATGTTCTGTTGGTGCAACTCAGTTAACTTCAGTGGAGGTGCACCAGTTTATACTAGTAGAGAATTTAGCTAATCGAGTCAGCAAACTAACCAGTAAAAATATATGTTGACAAAAAAATTAAGTTAGCTTCTCATTGTTTATGACGTTCACTGCTTGCATTTTACAGTACTCAGTTTGGACAATGAAACTAGACTAATCAGTTTCACTTTCTGTTTTTAGTTAGTATAATTTTGCAGCTCTCCAATGTTGTTTGGCTTCAGGGTGGCAGGAGATTAAAGGCACTTCTAAAAGCTTATTCCCACCACCATAATTAACCAATTAATAAAGGATGTTTCAAGTTCTATGCAAATTAGAAACCTTCCTTGCTGCCTAATTCAAGGTCAGCATGAATAAAAACAGAGCAGAAATGTTAATACAACAGACATCCCAAATAGTTAATATCAGAAGAGCAAACTACACTAGCCCTGCGTCACCTGCATCTAGAGTCTAAAGGGTCAAGATTCAAGTCAATTAAACATACTTTGAACACAAACCTCAACCAAGTACAGATTGAATGTTATACTTTGGGATTTTTGAATATACAATTTTTTCAAACAGCTAGATGAGTGAATCTGGACAGATACTTTTCTCATGATCTTTGTCATTTAGTGAGATACAAACAGAACAATTGAATACACATTAATACAAGGGCGATGTGACCTAAAATTAACCAATGTGAAGTTAAAAACAAAATAATAATAAAGAAAAAGAGCTCATTTGCATGGTCCAAAATAGCAGGTCAAGAGAGCTTCAAACTGTATTTGAGTTACCTAAGGAACTCCTACACATACCCCAAGTGGAGAAAATAAAACAAACAAACCCTCTTAAACTGATCGTTATTGTACATAACAAAGTTATACCTTTCATCCAAAAGTTCAAGCCTAAAATTTGGCATACTTTAGATGTTATCCTCTGCCGGTAAGTGTATTGTTTATATTTTTTTAAATTATAACTGCTGTAATTTTGTTCCCATTTTTTAAAATGGGCTCGAGCCCACATGTCTGTTCTGTTGCCCCAGACTCAGCCTCTGCAAGTTAATAAACCCTATTCCCACAATTAGGCAATCATGTGGACTTTGCTAACAAACAAACCAAGCATGTGACTTTCATGGAAGAGGATAAGATTACAGGGAAAGAAGAATTACAGATCAAGCTTCTAAGGCACTTGTGATAATACAGAGATTGATTTAGAAGGGTCCTTTTCTGTAGCACAGACAGAAACTATTACAAACAACAGACACTCCTGGGGGAATTCTGCACCAAAAAAAGTTTAAAATTCTGCATCCAGCTGGGGCTCCCATGGTCAGTCCTGCGCATGGCCACACTCTGGCTGCCGTGTGCAGGTCTGACAGCGGGAGATCACAGGTTATTCAGGAAAAACTAAAATGCTGGGAACATTAATTCTGTGCAAATTCTGCTGGCATTCTGTGCCATTGTACAATGCAGGAGTGAGAGAGACAGGAAAAAAAGAACTAAATGCTCCAAGAGTACTGGATAGAAAGTATAAAACGCCTGCAGAAAAGAACTAGCGGGTTTCTACAGCAAGTCTTACTCCTCAGCTTGGAAATAATCTGAGGTGTTGCTCGTACAACATGCTAGACATTTGATGAATTTTAATCAGGAGGAAGCAGCACTTTCCAACATCAATCTAATGACCGAGAAACTTTCAAAGTGCCCAGCAACACCCTAATCAGCCATGTTGGACAGGAAAGCGTAATAGCTCAACACCTGGGCATCAGGAGGGTTGAAAGCACCTGTTTTAGCATCCATGCACTGCACTGGAAATCCCCAAGCAAAAAAGAATACACAACCAGCAAGTCAGAAATAGGGTGCAACCTTGTGTTCTTCCTAGAAGAGAAGGAATGGGATCTACATTTGGCTTGTACCATCAAACAGGTAGAGAGCGTACAGAGGATGCAGCATGTGTAAGAGACCTGCTGAAAGCGGTGGCTGATTTGGAAGGGAAGGCCCAATGCATGAGACAAGAGAGGCAGGCCGTGATCCACCTTCCAAAGTTCAAGTTTTGATTAGAGATCCTTAACTGAGGTCTGGTCTACACTACAGACTTATATCGGCACAACTGTGTCGCTCAGGGATGTGAAAAATGTTTGCATTCAAAGTGCCATATCCCCCCTTGGCCTAGAACTAGAGTAGTTCTGGGTTTATACTGCCACAGCTTGCTAAAAAGATTGGGTTTCTAGTGAGCAAATGGCACCTGTCCTGCTTCCAGTTCTGAGTCCTGTTAGAATATACCACACTGAGATGTTCAGACAAGCCCTCCAGGCAACAGACCAACTAGGTTCCAGACAGAAACCAAGACTCTCCATCCCAAGTGTCTGAACAGATTGTGCCAATGCCAAGTGAATTCCTGGAGGGGGTCGGAAACAGACTCTCAAACAGCCGTCTCTTTCCTCGCCACCCAAGGCGTGTGCAAACCCAACCTGCCAGAGAAAGCCAAGTCAGCTGGCTCTTCCTAGGGTTCAGAGGAAGGGAGGGGGTGTGCACGCTGACTTAAAGGCCTCAGTCCAGCTCCTCCACGTGGAAGCATGTGATTCTGGATTACCGACCTGGCCTCCGTCAGAGCAGGGATGCCTCTCCCTGGGCATTCTGTACACTTCAGCCTTTACAAGGGAGAAAGGATTCTCCACCTTGACAGCAGCTTTTCCCTGTTCTTCAGCTATATCAGAAGCCGGAGAGAACATAAGAACGGCCATAATGGGTCAAACCAAAGGTCCATCTGGCCCAGTATCCTGTCTTCCAATCATCGACAATGCCAGGTGCTTCAGAGGGAATGAACAGAACAGGTAATCATCAAGTGATCCATCCCCCATTCCCAGCTTCTGGCAAACAGAGGCTAGGGACACCATCCTTGCCCATCCTGGCTAATAGCCATTGATGGACCTATCCTCCATGATTTTATCTAGTTATTTTTTTAACCCTATTATAGTCTTGGCCTTCACAACATCCTCTGGCAAAGAGTTCCACAAGTTGACTGTGCGTTGTGTGAAGAGCTTTAGAGATGTTTAAGGGTATGTCTACATTACTGTGCCACCATAGCACCCTAGTATAGACTCTTCCTGCATC